GAGATACCATAACTGTTTAGCACACGTTTGGTCAAAGGATGGGCTTCACTTGTCCATTTGACGAGTTGTAGTATGGTGCTACGAATGGCGAGACTCACTGACGATGCCGGCGAAGTGCTTGGGAATGTACCGCGTCCACGGTCCGACTTTGGAAATAATTATGCATACAATGGATTCAGGACAAGGTGCATTCCTATAAGTCTTCCTACCAATATGAGCAAGTTACGAAAACAAGGTCAAACAACTTCTATACAACGGAACGAGACTGCGACCACAAAAAAGACCACACGATCTTGCTCTTCATACTTTAGAATTTTTGTTCGTTTTAAAAATGATCGATTGTGTTATTTCATTAGTTGCCACTATCGCCTTCCTCACACTTAGTCATTGAACCGGGTCCAACCTCACGGGGATCTGTTGAGCATGGTCTCACTTGTGATTTTTGCCTTGGCGACGAGCTGGAAAATAAGAAATCTGGGCGGCCTGAGGGCATGGTTCGGTGCTCGGATTGTGGCCGATGTGCGCATTTTTCATGCCTACAGTTTACGCCAAATATGATCGCCTCAGTGCGAACCTACCGCTGGCAATGCTTGGAATGCAAGACCTGCTGGCTATGTGGCACTTCTGAGAACGATGTAAGTGCTTGTGCCGTTCTTGTTTCTCTCAATGTTGTTCTTTGTACACTTCCTAGTATGCAACTAACAACTTATTCTTGCCTTTATTTTAGCATGCTTACTAGAGCTTATCTCCATTGGCTCATTTATTGTCTTCCCAGTACTTCCTATCTGCGAACCTGTCTACACAAATAAGAATTTGGTTACCCTAAGTCGCGTTGCTAGTGCGTTTTTTTAAGCAATTAGATGAGTAGGTCTCAAGGTGACATTGAGTTTCACTTAACCTTGCCTCGCAAAAGTTTATGGTATTCATAAATACTGCAATCCAGACCTCGTCGAGGTCTCAACATACCTAACAGGATTCGATATTAGACGTATCGTGTCGAAGTAACCACTTCACTAAAATACGGCCGCGGGTGCCATTTGATCACAAGGCAGATGTGGCATTGAAGACAAGCTAGGCCTCTCCCAACTCAGATTTATGACTGAACGGCAGAGTAAGCGAGTGTTTGCCATTACAATAGATTATGTTTATTTTCTATATAAGTTGGTTTCGAGGTTCAGCAATACTTGGATAATATCTTAGTTATATTAAGTCGCTTTGAATTATTTAATGGCTGATAGTGAGATATTTCCACTTACATCCGTATCAGCGTAGTGGGGCTGAGTGGTAAAATCGCTATCATATGACCTGGTGTCCAATCTTGATGGGGATACTGATGAGACCTAGGCGAAGTCAAAAATGAAGTTTACCCTGGGTGAGATAAGCCCTAAGGGGGCACGGCTAAGCGGAATTCATTGTCATGAGACCTATTCATTTAATTGTGGAAAAAACTTGCTATAAGTGCTTGGGTTACTTTCTGTGACATAGTGCTGTTATTCACGGATTACTGATTTTTTCGAAGTCTACTTTTATCTGAGTAATTAA